TGTAGGCACAGAGTTTAGGGCAGTCCCGTGTCCTTTTCACCAGGAAAATCTCTTGTCTGTCCTTCCTCCCTCCCTCCAGCTGCTGAGGACAAGATGGAGACAGGCAGCCCCAGCATCAGCAGAGGCTGAACAGAGGCTGGGCTCTGCTGATCTCCAGTCTCCACTCAGGGGCCTTCTGCCCACAAGGTACAGTCTCAGGGACCAGGGATATATTTGGGAAGAGCAGGCACAGAGTTACTGCAGGTAACACTAGTTAATCATGGACAAGATGATGTCTTTCTGTGCTCAACCATCCGATTTCTCTTTGCAGCTATGCCTCTCAGAGCCTACTGGAGTCAATAAAAAGAAGGTCCCCAAGACTCCACACTACTCTAGCCTGGCTTTGAAGGTAGTGGGAGCAGCAGTTATACTGGTCCCCTCAGCCTCCTTCAAAGACATGAGGGACATCCCTCTCCCTGGGATACCTACTTACTGAAAGCATCACAGCTGAAGGATGAAAGTGTGAGCCAGCTCACCTGAACACTACTCCCAACACATCCCTGCCAAGCTTGCTGGCTTGTACTGCATTTCAAAAATAAACAGACCACTTCAGAACCCTTTGCTGAGGAGCTCTGAACTAGGGTGAGCAAGCAGGTATCGATTCCCTAACCTGCAGAGAACCCAACCAGAAGAATAAACCCAGTGCTGGTCTCTTGAGCCACTGATGTTGCACCAGTTTAATTTCACAGGGACCTGAGCCTTCCACATTTTGCAGAGAGATATTTCCCCTGCAAACTCTTGTTTTGCCACAGTTTGTGTTTCAACTGCCAGACATCATTTTTTACCCTCAGAATTAATGATTAACAATTAAATTATTTGACAGGGGAATAAAGGCCCTGTGCTAATTAAATTCCTTCATCTCTCCTCTTTGCAGAAAAAAAAAAAAAAAAAATTGATACTTCTCAGTATCAGCATTCAACCAGAACAGGGCGGTTTGTGAAGCTGGACTTAATTAGATGGGCAACCATGGGCACAGCCAAAGGAAAAAAAAACACACAAAAAATATTGCACAAGGGCCATACAAATAGGAGAGGAGGAAGAATCTGCCAACTGTGGGGCTGGGGACCAAGCAAACTGATACATCCAAACTGCAGAAGTGCTACTTTCTAAACCAAATAGCTTTTTTTATAAGAGTACATCATGTGTTTAGCTGAAATAAACTAATGCAGACAGAGCTAGTAGTGCCTGTAGAGGCCAGCTTCTCCATTTTAAGGAATTCAATCCTGAGCAGCTGGGCTGTGCATCTCGACCAGCTTTTACCTTCACATCCCTACTAGTGGGCTGGACCACCCAGGGGCTAAGTAGTGTCTGCTTACACGCCAGCAGTAATATCACAGAAGATTGTGCTAGTTCATCGACCCTCTGAAGAGCTCCATTCCATTGTTGTTGCTGTGATGATTGCCTGATGGCACTTTCTCAGCCAGATCCACTAGGGATTACACCAGCATAAATAAGATAAACCTCTGCCTGGCTGCTATTAAAATGCACCAAGACACTCTCAGCTCAGACAACACTCTTACACCAATGCAAAAATACATCCTCGGTGGTTTTGTTATGTGTTTTGCCTCTTTTTTTTATTCAGAGAATAAATTTTCCCCTTGAACAACACAATAACACCCCCAAATTTCCAGTTCTATTCTATCATCAAAAATTTTCAAGTCACTTGGCAATTTCCCTCTCCTTGTCTCTGTTGGGCCAGGAGGTGAATAGTCCTACGGGACTTTCAAGGGTGCTTCTGAAAGAACTAAAGGTTGGAGAAAATCCCAGAAAGCTCCCAAGGCAGCACATATGCATTGGTCAAGACAGACCTAGAAGAGAGCAGAAGCATCTGCTTTTCTGGGTGCTCTGTGACCTAAACTGCCATAGCAAAGCTCAATTGCTACAACTATAGTGAACGTTTCAGGATTGTGTAGGTGCATTCCACCCCTCCAAAGGATGTTGGGGTGAGCCAGCCTCTCTGTAGCTCCCAGTGGTGTTTTCTACAATTAATTCTGAGCTAGAAAGTAGACACATCTGCCTGCTGCTGGAAAGGTTTTGCTATTCCCTCATCCTCTGCTTTCTAACCCTTTCTTGTTAAATGAAGGGGGGAAATAGTCACCAGCTAGTTTTAGGAGAACATTTAGCAACCAAATAGAAGTGTGGAGAAATGCAGAACTTGTCATGCCTAGGTCACCTGGGTAACACCACAGAGCAGCTTGCAGAACCTGCTCCTAGGGATAGGCATGAAGCTGCAGAGAGCAGTGGGGCTGTGAGAGGGTGGTCTTCTCCCAGATGCTTGTGGGATTCATTTATCTAAATATATACTTCCATGCAGGAACAGAGACCATGAAATTAATTTACTTGCAACTTCGGTACAGAGAGAATCAGAAATGGCACCAAAGAAATACCAGCAGACTCATTGGAAGTGAACATATTTAGCATGGGCATTCATACTGAATTTATAGGAAAGCTGAACACTGATTTCTACGGGTTTTTTACCTCATTTTTTAAAGTAAATGCCAGGGAAATTGCAGTTTCTAATTATCTTTTGCACTTAACGTTTATTAGATTTGTATTGCCTCTTCCCTGTGGCCTCCACTTTTCCACTTCCATATACTTTCTCCAGACTATGGTTAATGAGAAGAAATCAGCATATTGCACTCTCTGGCATCTTGCTGCTGAAGTGGCAGGACTCTTTGGTTACCAAGTCATTTGCTGCTTAATTGAAATCTTTTCTCTCGACTCATTGCCATGCAGACACTATTGGAAGGCAGCAGTAGAGCCCAGTATTGATTGTCCTCTCACTCCCAGCTTTCTTCCTTTTCCAAGTTTGGAAATCAATTCTAAAGAAATCCTTTACTTTTTTTTTTTTTTAAACATCACCCTTTCCACAACCCCATTTACCCATGAAACACACTGGCTTGGCTTTTCATAGTTTCTTGGAGCAAAGATGGGGACAAGACAAGAAATGACACATAGTTCTAGTAAAAGCTAGATCCACCCCTTGTCAGAACACCTCCAAGTATGAGTGTGCACCAGCCAGTTCAGGCAAAGTCCTGTGTGGGAGTGGGTTGTGAGCATATGAAGGGTGACTGAAGTTCTAGTTTTAGGCTCCCACTGAGAGTGGTTTGAAATTTATCTCCCTGCTCTATTGTGGAAGTTAAATTTTAATGGCTAAAAATCTAGTAACCAGAGAATCCTGCTACAGTTGCAGCTTGCAAGAGAAGCCAGACTGCAGCTGTGAGTTTGCAGGGTTGAAAACCAAGGCTTGGCAAGCCAGCACTGCTAACACCAAAGAGGAGTCAACCAACACAATACAGACAACTACAGACTGCTAATTTTGAAATTATGGCACCTCAGCTCTTTTGAATCCCTTTGGTTTTTTAAGTCCTAGGGAATTTGGCAGTCCAAAATGTCAAAGCTTTGTTTAGATAACGTTTGTGTCTTTGGAGTCTCAGCTCAAATTTGCATTGTACGAACAGGTCTTTGAGGGCAAGGTCACATTAATGCCATGCATAGTAACCATCCCCAAATTCTTCCTGATCGATCTTGTGTCAGCACTTAGCACTACTCTTCTGAAAAAGAGTAGGTTTTGCTACTACAGTCTTTTGAGACAAATGCAAAACTTCCCAAGGCAAGGTTCTCATGCTGTAGGAGGATTCATGGTGCTGTTTGAGGACATATGTAGCTAAAAATCTTGTGCCTGTTGTAAACGTGCTTAGGCCTCTCAGCTGCTCTGCCGTAGCAGCTCTCACAGTTCCCACATAGCCTTTGTACTTTAAAAGCATTCAGAAGTTTAGCAAAGGATGAAGCAATAAGCCTCAGTTCCTCTTGAGCTGCTTTCTTTGGCTCACTATACATTTGCATTGCAGTACTGCCTGCAGGCTTTAACCAGCACCAGGCATCTGAACCCACAGGCAGATGCAGCTCTTTCCCCAAGCACACTGTATGTCACCTATGCATTTAGGTTTGAGTTTTTTATTTTTTTTTGCAAATCTAGGCAATTTTACACCAGACTTCCAGCCTGGGAACTGATCTGTGTTTAAGTAGAAACCATAGGGAAGGAACTGAGTAGTGTCTATTCTTGTCTTGGAAATCAAACCTTCCTGCAAAGTTAAGAATGAGCACCTAGTATCAGGAATCACTTGTTCCTCCATAGATGGCAACAACTGAGACTTCCTAAGCCCAAATCTTCACCCTGCATATCTTGTGGACTCCCACAGAGTCAGAAGGCACATTGTCAGTCTTAGAATTTCATCTTCTATGGATAAATTACTAATTTCACTCTTACTGCCTTGGAGGTCATACAGGTTCCCAAAAGATTTCATCTCGTTTCATCCTCAACCTAAAGTGAGTGTCATTTCAGGAATACACCTCCCCATCCAGAGACAATCTTGCTGTATTGAACTCAGACCCCTGCATTGCAGGTAGCAACAGCAAATGCTGGACTGACCAGCAAGAGGGAAGCAAAACCACATCTATCCCCTACAGTCCCCAGCACTCTGCAGGAGCTATACAATCACAGGACACTCATTTCAGCCTCAGATTCCAGGTTTGCTCTGATCCTACCTGCCTTTTGGAAAATCAGACTGTCAGAGTACCAAACATGCTCCTTGCTATTTGCCATGTAATTAAGCAGTAATTGCTGCCCAAGGCTAATCTCAGAGTGTATTTTACCTGCAGAGCTTGGTGCCAGAGTTCACATTTGTAATTTAGTGGCATGCCAAGAAGCTCTACCTAAACTCACAAAAGGATTTTCTCCACTCATCATCTTTCTTCTACTTTGGTGGCAGCTGGGGTTCTACCTTCAGAGATGTTTGGGCTGGGCAAACAAATTAGCAGAGACCAACCTCATCAGGAATTCACAGACACCCATCCTGCCTCACAGAAGGAATGAGGTGCTGACTGCTCTGTTTCTGGACCCAAACCTTCTTCAGTGTAGGATGTACACTAAAACTTCCTCTTTCTTTCTACTCACACAGCCTGGCAGCCTCCAAAGAAGCTGAAGCAGCAGCCCGATCTGCCCCCAAACCCATGTCACCTTCTGATTTCTTGGATAAGTTGATGGGGAGAACTTCAGGATATGATGCCAGGATCAGGCCAAATTTTAAAGGTATGCAAAAACCTCTGCTTTGTGGCTTTGTTTCATTTGGAGACTGAAAACTGCATGCAATCCTCATTAATGACTATATATGGAATATAAACAATCTCTATGTTCATATGAAATACATATGATAAGAGATTTGGCACATGGATCACTTGTAAATGTATGGAAAGACATCCAACTTCCACTCAGGATAGAAACAACCTTGTAACTATTTTATATGCAGGAAAAACTTTAATACAGGGGGCAGGGATCTTGCCCAACCAAGCAGTGAATGGCAGGGAGCTGAACATCTTACAGTTTAGGAGAACTACTTTCCTTCCCCCTTAAGTTACTGCCCATAGCACTTTCTAATAGCAAGCAATGCTCCCCCCAGAACTCATTCAAGCAAAAAGGAGTCTCTCCCATCAGCTCCAGAGGAATCCAGTGAGATGCCAGGAGCTGCTCTGACCCATCACTGTCCCCTGTAGTAAAGGGACTCTGAAGCTAGTGCCCAATACAGCTCCACCACAAAGCTGCATCTCACACCCAGTGTCACCAGTTCACCCTATGCTCACTGCCAGGCAAATAGCATTGAAGGAGGCCCTGGGAGAGGCATCAGAACCTCTTTCTTTGCTCCTCAAAACACCTCTTCTAGCAAAGAGGTGAGAGTGGGCTTGGTTTGTGTTTTTGTTGGGCTTTTGTTTGTGTTTGAGGGTTTTTTTTTGGTGGGGTTTTCTACCCAGTCTAGTGGAAGGTGACCCTGCCCACAGCACAGGGGTTGGAACCAGATGGCCTTTACAGTCCCTTTTAACCCAAACCATTCTATGATTTTTTTTTTTAAACTGAGCTCACTTTCCCAGAGCCATTTGCCCTTGAATCACACCCAGAGGTAAGACCAGACCTGCTCACCTCCCAGCCACTGCCCAGCCCTCTTCAATGTTCATTTCATCCATTTCTTTTGTTTCCTACTACCAATTCCTCCTTCCCTCCCAAGAGGCACTTGCAATGCTAACACAGGACTCCCAGAACCCATTAATCATGGTGACAGCACCTGCCATCCAGCTGCACACAACAAGCTCTACACTGGGCTTTTAAACCAGACACAGTTGGGACACTTATGTCCTAGTAATCAACCCGACAAACAGAACATTTCTGGCTTTATCCAAAACACAAAGAGTTAAAAAACCACCCTGCAAACCTGCCTACCACTAAATTATGCACACACACAAAAGAAATTAAACTTTAATATTTAATGAAATGTATACATTATCTTCCTGCTGCAGGCAGCTGTATTGCATTTTTATTTGAGATAATTTAATTCCAGTTTTATTTCAATGAACTACACCTTCCCCACAGGGTAGTTTTGCTGGCTTAGCCTCCCACACATAAATCAGGCTCCAATTTATATGGAGGCATAGGAGGTGTTTTACAGAGCTTGGGGTTGTAGCTCTCAAAGCATGTCATTTAAATTAACTGCAGTAACTCATAAGGGCATTTTAATGGCTTAGATCTAAATGAAAATAATACCAAAGATCCGTATCTGATTGATTTTTGGGGAGGGGAAGATTAACAAAAAAGAAGATTGCAGCTTTTCCATGAATGCAGTAAAGTCTGGATTTAGCTGTGGATTCACATTTGGAGAACAAGGAAGAACCATCTGGGCTTCGGTTTGAGTTGGAGGATGAAGCCCATAACTCATGTAGGGACAGAGCTGAAGCCCGTAGGTGTGGGACAAGGGACCCCTCACCCAGGCTGTACCCTTAACTCTGCTACTGGAAAATTATATTCCTTCACAGCAGCATTCCACTGCAGCGGTGGCACATCACTGTGGTAGGCAGGGACATCTCTACAGCCTCACACAAGCCAAAAAAAAACCCAAACCCTGAAGAGTGCTTCCTTCAGATGCAGCAGAAAGGGCACAATGCCACAACAAGAGCTGAGCTGTCCCAAGGAGAGAGTCTCCTCGCATGCACTGGACCAAGCTCATCCCACAGCCAGCTTCACATCAGGATAAGATGAGGAAGAGGAGGGCTCAAGTCTTCCATGCATGTCAGAGTGATGAGCACACACAGTCATCCAGGTCAGCTCAGAATTTTTCTTACACTGTGCTATTTGGGAGGGGAAATCACATGCACATGGACCTTCTACATGGTTCATGAGATGGATCCAGAGAAGAAAACTATTACTCCTGAGCTCAACAGGAGCATTGAAGAGAGGATAAATAAGTGATGAAGCCTGATCAGCTCCCTGCTTTCAGCTGCTGTATAGACTTCACAAGCCTTTTGAATAAGAAATGTTGGTGAAGGGGGCAAAAAACCTGACGACACCATTTTGTATCTGATATTTTAGCCATGCCAGTGTTTAACAGTCTGGAGGAAGAGCTGCACAGATTGAACAGTGTGTGAGCCACTGCTGCTGAGCTGGCAAGTGGCTGGCTGGGAGCTGGTTAGACAGAAGCCTTCTCAGATTGCCTGGGACTCACACCAAGAAAATCCCAGCCTCAGAGAGTATTACTGTTACCTGGATGCAATCCCACTCCCACAGAGGGGAAAAAAGTTTCAGAGGAGGATGAGGTAGGAGAGGAGGAAAGGGAAATGAAGAACATACCAATCTCCAAATGTTACTTAGTAATCCAGAAATCCCATTGAGTTCCACACAGGATGAAGTTTGCACCGTTTAGACACACAAGCCCCTTGTTAAGGCCATTCCCCCCCCCAATATTTCATCTTGCAGCAACTGTCAGACTGCAGATGTGGCCTTGACAGGCAACCACCACTCCCTGAGCAAGGCTGAGCCATCACACAGTGTTTGAAATGCAGACATCCTTGGCTCCATAAAAGAAATTCTATAATTCCACAGTCACTACTTCCACAAATCTTATCTGCCCAGAAGCATCTGTCACAGGGATGACAGGCGATTAATTGCCCCAGCTTTAAAGGGGGACTTCGGTGCCTGGGGCAGTGTCCTCTGCTCAGCCTGGATGGCCTTACCCCACAACACTGGGCAGCACCAGTAGCAGGTCCCATGGGAATCCCCAGAGCAAAGGTTGCTTTTGCTTCTTCTCTCCCCTTGTTAAAGCTCTACAGAAACCCTCCCATATGCAAGCAAGTCACCAGCTTGCCAGGCTCCAGGTATGGCTCTGGTTCCAAAACATTCTCCTGGTTTCTGTGTTGTAGTGAACAGCAGCTCTTGGCACCCCCGTGGGCACAAACACATTTCCACCTCAGATTTGCCAGGCGATATCGTGATCCTCTTTCAGTCACACTGATACCTCTGGGCACCAGTACTACACAGACAGACTGATCCACATGCCCTCCAGCTATCATCTTTTCTTCCCTTAATCATCATCTGTCCTCTCTTTTGGTAGCCCCCTTAACTTTTCTAACATGAGTATGCTAAGCAAAGCTTCAGTTTGAAAGCAAATAAAACCCAGAAGAGGCATGGCCGAGAGTCTGGAAATACTGTCTCCCAAAACAGGGCCACCTGAGAATTTCTGCTGGCAGAGCTCTGAAGTCTCCTGCCCTACTGGGTAGCCCTGGCAGACACCACCACTACCACATGGGGTACTTGCTCCTTTACCCAGCCCCACCCTTACAGCACACTGCTCTGCTGGCTCCACAGGGTCTGGTTCAGAAACATTTAGATGCTTTAAATGAGTATTTTAAAAGTATAGAGTTCTAAAGAAGAGGGCCCACCAATAGCCTCTCAGCTCTTCTCTGGGATACATTGCTATATCCTGTTCAAGGTGAGCTTGCCACCAACACAGTAGTGTTAAGATATCTGGAAAGCTCTCCTGCCTGGCTATGATCTATTCCTTTTAATCCAAACAGTTCACAGAAGAGATAAACATTCTTCTAAGTAGGGGAACAGAGGAGAAGCAAGAGCATTGTCTGATATCAAACCAGCATCAGAACCAAGACTAAACTATGCCAGGTCACCTAAACCTTGTTCCCATGGCCACCCCTCAATCCCTCTATCCCCACAACACTGCAGAGCAGAAATACTTTTTCTTATAAGCACACAGTGAACTGTTTGTTCCACTCTGTATTTGTCATGCAGGCCCACCAGTGAATGTCAGCTGCAACATTTTCATCAACAGCTTTGGTTCGATTGCAGAAACAACTATGGTAAGTAAAAATCCCAGCACAGCTGCTCAGCTACTGGCTCAGCCTCATTGCACTCCCAGCAACTGCAGCATCACCCTCCTCTTTAATCCAACTAGAGGAAAATACTGTCTGTGTTCAAGTTTACCTAGGGCTTGAGTAAATTAATGGTCAACACACAAGACTCACACTGCATGTGGTTGAAGATCACAGTCTCCAAGAGTCTCTACAAAAACCACTGTACAGGCAATGTATAAGGGTCAGAAAAAGAAACAGTCTTTTTCTGAAGACTTGCCTAAGGCTCCAAGCTCAGAGGCAGTTGCAGATACTTTAAGTGCCTATAAATCCAGAAGTCTGAACACTAAGCGAAGGGAAACCAGTTTAGCTTAAATTCAATCAGCACCAGATTTCAAAAATTTCAGATTTTTTTTCTTGGAGAGACATTTCTCTTAGACAATGATTTTTAATTTTAAAAAAAAAACAAATATTTGCAAGTTAAGGCTTAACTTCAGACAAAATGAACATGACTAAATGCTGTATCCAACTGGCACGACACTAGGATCAGAGGATCACTAGAACAGAAGATAATTGCTCCATCTGAAAACTATTAAAGGTTGGTTGTGACATAATCAGTGGCAAAGGAAAACTCTGGAGGCACAGTGCCTTACCTCTGTGCTAATTAAAGATAATCCAGAAAGATAAAGTTTAATTACCTTCATTCAACATCTTTTTCTTGAAAGATGTTGAATGAAGAATGCAAGACTCCAACTTCAAGGGTTTTATGCATTCAAGTAGGATGTTACAGGCTTTACATATAGATCACACCCCTTAATTTAAGGAGTTACTTGTCATGCACATCACTGTCAGAGGATATCAACAGTTTTATACCTGGGGTTACAAGTCTCTTCTGACACTATACCATTCTTCTGGAAATGTTTGGGACTGGGGACTGTTCAATTCCAGCAACAGGGAAAAAAAAAAATCTGTATATCTTTGTGCTTGGACAGAGTAACATTTCATATGTGGATTGCAGAATTTGTCAGAGTTCACAGGTGAGAAGTGTATTCATGGATTCATTTGTATATAATGGAAAATCAGGAGAACTAGACCCAAAACACACACCTAGTCCTAATTTTATTGGATACCTCCTTTGGTGTGACAGAAAAAAATACCTTATTCCTATACAATCTAACAGAGACGATCCAGAGTGGACGGGAGAGGGACAGGTCCACAAGGGAACCCTGTGCAACGTTCAGAGCACATTATAATGACATGTTTCTCAATATCTGTCTGACGCTGAGATCCATTGGAGCAGTCACATGAAGACACCACAGGATCCCTGTAAACAGGATGCTCCCTAAATTAGCACAGACTAGCATGAGAGAGAGAGAGAGATGCAGTTCACCTCCAAGACATGCTGCAGGGACTTGCTATCCTCTCCAGATGCCACTCATTTCATAGTCTATCTTCCATAGTAAAAATTCCCATGGGAACCCTAGAACACCCTCTGGGCACATTGCTTTGTTTAGAAATACCCAAGCCAGCTCTGACAAGCTAGTCCAGATGTCAGGCTGACACAGCATTGCACACAACCTAACATAGCACACTTCTTTAGGGACAGCAACTCTGCTTGTAAACGCTGATGAGAACACAAACAACACGGGTACTGAAGCACCTAAAAATGATATCCCAGCAAGTCAGAGCAGTGTTTGGGATTTGCTGACTTGGGGTTTACCCTGCAGAGAAGCCAGTCTCTCTTCTCGCTGCTTCAGGATGCAGCAGGTCAGTGTCAGCTCCCCACCACAGTTTCTAGGAAAGGCAGAAGGTCTCATTATGAAGGGATTTTGAAACAGACTGGACTACTTTGAATTCAAACCAGTGATAAAATATCAGGGGGCTCAGGTGGTGGTGGAGGAGTTGAAGTTTGGGTGGCAGAGAAGCAATTCAATGCTTTACCATAAGGAAAGCAACAATCTCTCCTTGACCCCTGGGACTGATGATAGTAACTCACCACAAGTTGCTTTGCTGGCCAAAAGAGAAAAACAGTATGGTTTAAACTTCAATCATTAGGCACCCTAAGCCTGGACAGGTTCAGGTATCAAGTACTACATCATCTTATATTTGGTTACTATTGCACTACTAGCTGCAGGAGAAGAGTAGCAGGTTTTTATGGATACCACATAAGCAATTAGAGAAAGCTTTAAAATATTACCATAATAGGGTCATTTGTTCCTACAGAAAATACCACTGATGTCTTTTAAATTTACATTGCTTGAATCTCACAGATCAGCATAAATCATGAGGTCACCATGAAGCAGATTATAGAAACTGGAGCTAACTGCTCACTTACAGCTTAAGGTGTCATGTAAGGTAGAGTAATAGGAGAAAATAGAGGAAAATAGTCCAAACCAGGCACATGATGTAGCCACTTCTGTCAACAAACCTCAGAAGGGAAGATAATGAGTTGAGGCCACGAGAAGGCACAGAATTCCCAGAGCAAGCAGAAAGCTGATGTCTGCCCCAGAAAGGCTCAAAATGAACCAAGCAAGAAATGGAGACCTGAAAACTGCTGCAAGGATAGAGGGAAGGAGAAGGAAAAACAAAGCCATCCACCAAAATGAACTCCCCAAAGCAAAGCTGACTGCAAGCAAGGGAAGAAGGCTCCTTTAGGCATCCTACAGGACTAAAGACCCAACATAAAAGCCTCTAGCGGTGCTTTTAGTGGTGCAACTGATTGGATACTTATGTTAGATCACAGCTCATGGCTTATATCCATCAGCCTCATTTGCAACCAGCTCTAAAGATAAGGGAACCTGAGACTTGGAACACATCCCTGTGAACCCAACAACTGCTTCAAGGGGAGAGAGATTACCCACTACAACAGCCAGACAATCTCCTTCTGACCCAAAACATTATCACAATAGGGTATCCAACAACAAGGGATTCCATAGGACAAATGCAAGATACATCCACTCTATCTGCTTAGTTTTATTAAAAACACCAAACCTCCACAGACACCCCAAACCACAAGCTGTTAAATCCTTTTTTGCTCTTCAAAAACGAGCACTTTTCCCCTCAGCCATACCAGAGCAGGAAATCCATAGCAAAGCTACAGATTCTTCATTCAAAATGAAACAGAAGTCAGGCAACAGAGTCTTGGTTTTAAGTGAATAATCTGCATTGGCTTTGGTTTTTCTTTGTAGTATGAGACAACTGGTAGGATTATCTGAGCATTTCATCCAACAAATTTCCTGCTATAACAGCAAGCTTGGAATTAAGCAATGCCATCAATCTCTTCCAATGGAAGCTGCAGTTTTATGGCTCTCTCACTAGCTCAGGCACTTTGGAGCATTTTATATATAGTGAAGGCACACAGAGAAAGAGGAATATATTTTTTATGTCATCACCTAGAATTATAGCTAGCTGGACTCAGTGCTCAAGATGACCCCTTCCAGCCTCATGCTTTAAAAAGGACACACAGAGCAAACAGCAAAAGAAAGAAAACCACAAAACAGCACAGGCTCCTCTAGACACAGTGTAGATATGCAAATTTATTTTTGCTTCTTTCATGCCTTAGTTATTCCATCTGAAAAGATCAGGACAAATGTGACCTTCCAGCCAGCTGCAACACAGCCACAATTGGCCTCCTAGCATCTCCTAAGGATGGAAGAAGCTGGAGGCTGCAACTGTCCAAATGTTAAATACTTGTTCAGAGCCATCTGTAGATGATATTTCCAAGATAACAAAACATGCTGCAAAACAGACTAAGCAATTCACTCCAGCCTCACAAGCCATGGTGCAGCAGACAGCAAATACGAAGCAAATGATGAAGCGTGTGGGTCGCACATTTAATACTGGGTCCACCCACCCCAAGGTCAGCAGAAGATGTAAGTATCATTACACAAAGCCTGTAGGAAAAAGCTGGGTTTTGAGCTCAGTTTTCTGCAGTCAGTCATTCTTAAAACCAACCATCAGTCCCACAGAGATAATAAGCATATAACAAGTCACGCAACACAAAATGAAAAGGTTTTCACAACACCTCACAATCTGGTGTAATTTCAACGTTAGACCTGCAGCATTTTGACTATCTTTATGATTGGAGCTAATCTTTGCAGTGAATGGAGAAGAACAGGGGGAGAAGAAAAGAAAGCCATGAAGTAGGACCATGCAACTTAAATATGAGGACATACACAAGGGAAAAAAAAAAACAAGCTGAAGAATTGAAGAACAAGATCTCACTACTAAATTCCTAAATTTGACATTCGAGATGCTGGCTACAGCCCACCACCACCATTCCTGGCCCAGAAAGATATAACTTCCCCTCCCTTCATAGGGAAAAGCTTTCTGATTTAAATTCCAGCCCCAAACACCCACACTTATTAAGCACAAGGGCACTGCTCCCACCCCTTCACTACATGCCTACCTTGCTCCAGCAACAGAACTTGTCCTCAGAAGCACCTCCAACACAACTACTACTCACAGCAGCTCCTCCCCTCAGCCCAGCTGTGGCTTTCATACCAGGCTTCAAATTGGCCACTTGGCTACAGCTGTGGCAAGGTAACAAGGTTCCTTACCAACCCTTTGAGATCTGCCCCAGTATGTTGGGTTTTTTTGAATCAGTCTGTTGTAGTGCTCATTTGCAAGGCAAATAACCTTAAATATGCTTGTTCACTCCATGTCTACAGAATGAACTCAGAGGTAATACAGCTTGCTGTGCTTTGCTGCCCAGGTGGGGTAACAGAATCCCCTCCTGAGGGTGTTCAGTCTCTACCCTGTTTTTTTCATCAGCAAAATGTAAATTTATCAAGGTGAGATCTCACTAAGAGACTGGTCTGATAGAACCCTGGAGTCAAGGACCAAAACCTTTTGGCTTTCCTGAGTCTCCATCCCTTCTTCACAGCGCTCCCTCCAGCCTGCCACTGCTTTCTTCAGCTCACTCAGCATCAGATGCCAAGACTGAGGTACCTTGAGAAGAAAAACTCTGAAATGATCTTCTGTTTCCTTGTCTCCTTGTGAGGTCACTAAGCAGAATTTCATTTCAGCATTATCAAATTGAACTGCTTTGATCACTTCAGTTATTTTTTTCATGCCCTGTGTTATTTCCCCGTTGGGAGTAAAATGCCTTTGCACCAAATTGCAAAGCTCCTGAATGCCTTCATGACACAGAGCTGCTGCTCTCCCCTCCCAAGCCAGCCAGAGGAGCAGGCTGCACAAGATAATCAATGCCTGGATGTGATTGGCACACAAATGAGGAGCTCAAGTGATAAGAAGAATAGGGAGAAAGAGATTTTTTTCTTTTGCTGAATTTACAGCCCAAATAAAACCTTTTTTATTTTTTTTTCCTTTAAAGTTCACACCAGAAATTGGTCCATTCTGTCCATCATTTAGGAATATCTGTGGACTTCTTTGTGATGTTAATTAAGATCTCATACAACAGCATCCAGGAGAAACACTGTATGTCTTCAGGTAGCCAACAAATGGGAGTTGTTCGGCTCATCACCTCCCAGCTTGACTGCAATGACTAGGCACGAAGCTTTCAACACACAGGATCCTTTGGCTGGTACAGAACACTGCAACCCTTATCTTAGACTGTGTCACAGCCACAGACATACCCACAGACCTCTCCCTGCCTTTGCTGGCTCCTCAGACAGTCTCACATCCCATCTGCAGTGACAGTGCTTGTTTTTACATTTGTGTTTAAATAAGCCTGCACACAAGAAAACTAAAAGTTTGCTCGGTGCCTTCAATACTACAGTGCAATGCAACTGTTTGTCATAAGGGAAAAGGCACCTTGGAGGAGAAATATATTCTCAGTGGCCAGGCCAGGACTCTGGATTAAACCCTCTGAGAAGAAAGATCTTCATCACCATACACACATATATGATTTAGGTACAATCCTGACACCATAAAATGGCCAAGGCAGAGAACTGCATTCACTGCATGTGTTACATTTCTTTGTCCTTGCTTTTTTATACCACAACGTAAATGCTCAGGTGTCTTTATTCCAAAGCAAAAAAATTATCCATTGCAAACGCTTGTCTCCAAAGGAGGAGCACAAAAAATAGCACACACCAGAGTGACTCACCACACCACTGAACATCCCCTGCATGGAGGTAGTGCAGTCTCACACACCACTCATCCTCAACATGCCCCTGGCCTGTTCCCATGCAGGAGGTGAGTACAGGACTCATGGCCTGTGGAGCTGAGTTAGGAGGAGCCTTCCCACAGCCATCTACTGTGATAAATGTGTTTTCATTTGGCCCACAAGCATGTGATGAAGGTCCTTCATCATGGTAATGAAGGCAAATCATTCACCAATATGTGGCTTCTTACACCTGCTGTGGTGGCAACATAAACCACACTACACCTTTCTTCTCACCCTTTCCTTCCCTTTATAGCAAGTTTTGGAGCTGAAGCAGTGATTTTATTCCAGCAACAAAGCTTATCCACAGGAACACAGGCTGCTGTAGAGAGATTGGCTCCTTTCTCCCCTCCCCCCACCTCCACCACTCCATCACATTGAGAACACTTCTGGGCAGCTACCACTGAAGTTTCTTCCAAACATGAGTTTAATTTGTGTCGTACATGACATGAGCCCCCAACCGGAGCTGACCTGCTAGCATCCAGCTTATTTGTAGCTGAATAAGCAAAACAACCTTTTGCTTTCTACCTATTAGGTCAGTGACATTGATTTCCCCTGACTGCAATGGCTGAGGATCTTGACGTGCAGAAAAGGGAGAACTGAAAGTACACAAGGTGTTCAGGGAGCTGCTGCCTGCCGTGGGAAGTGGAGAGTCAGGGCTGCTCCCATTTTCAGGTTTGCGTGATGAGCTAGTCCTGCACTAAGACCCTGGTTCCTGGCTGTCCACAGCTATTCACATTTTCTCAAGACACATTATCCAGGGCCGACAGAGATGAATAATTAAGTCAGAGCGATGCACTAGGACTTGTGAAGGTGACATTCGGCACATCAGCAGAAGGAGAGAGTGTTGCAACTCTTTTTCCATGTTCAGAAGTCTGCTCCTTTTAGCATCAAGTCCTTGGTCCATTTGCTGTTGTCATAATCATTATGTCATTAGCAGCTTCTGTGCTCTGAGGATGCAGATGGCACTAAGTGGCTTGAAACAGATGGGCTTGGCTATGAACTGACCCATCCAAAGCACAAAATACCCAAGACACATTCCTCTCCCAACCCTCCAGTATGACTGGACTCTACAAGTCCTATTCTCCTGGACAACAGGCTGCAGGTTCATAGTCAAGGGGGCACCTAAGGCAGCAACATCAGAAAGATTCTTCTCTATGTGCACGCCAGAGCTTGTGTTCTCCAGATGGAAAAACAAGACCTGGTGGCAGAGACAGGGAGATCCCCTCAGGGGTGCCAAATAATCTCACTGAAAGAAAGGTCCTAATGCCTGCAGCAGGTATTAGATACCACCTAACACGTCAGGCACTCTCCATTAACTGTCTCTTGATAAAAGACCTCACAGAATATTAGTATTAGAAAAGCACCAAAGAAACTCTTACTAATGATAGCAACTATTAGTTTGGGCCAGGGCAGGGAAATTGGTTTATTATATGCTGTTCTTCAGACTCTATCTGCCTCTATACTTAGAAAGTGTCAATTAATGTATGGACATGCAGCTTTTATCCCTCTCCTGATAGCTGGCATGTCCTCCCCCCATCTCAATTTATAGGCTCACTTTCTTATGTGAAATTCAGCAGAAAAGGGGCACACAGATCACTCTGGGAAGATATTGGTCAGATAAAGAGAACAGAAGCTGCCTTTAGTTGTTCATGAGAGCATCTGAGCTCAATCTCAGCTGCCAGCCTTGGCCTGGAGAGCTCAAGGGAGCTGTAGGACATACAGTTATGAGTCAGTCATCATTTTGCATAGTGTTGGAGGACTAGCTTCGATTAAAGAAGATGGCCATCCTATAAAATCTGTAGTATTTATGGTATTTTGACTTTAAAGAGGGGAACCCAGAATGCTCACTTAGGTTTAGGACAGCAGACTTCATCCACATTCTCTCATTCACACACTCTCATCAAGGGCAACTGGTCCCATCATTGCATCCAAGTTATCCGTACATTATGGATACACAGGAAATATCCCTTCTATAGACTGCCCGTCTCACTGTGCCTTTTCCTTTTCACAAGGCTGGAGGAACCACAGACAGTCACAATGAGGGATGGTTCTACACTGAAAGGGAGATGGCTTCAGCCTCCTTTCCCCCTTAATCCTCTGCAACAATCATCTTGCTGACACCAGTCCTCACGACCCTTGCAACTGAACATCACTTCTTCAGCCCTGGGGTTCAGACTAGAGGTCTTGACACTTCACACACAGCTGATGATAGCTGTGGTGGAGGGATGCAAGGATAGGCAGCTGCTCATGCTATGAGAGAGCTGTAAGCTACGGAGCTAAAAATAACAACAGCTCCTAAAGAAACATTGCCAAGAAGGCTCATCATAGCTTGAGAACATAGACCTAGACATGGTTTGTTTTTGAGAATGATTTTAATACATGCTACCCAGTTCTCAGCACCTTCAGCCTGCTCTGAGCACTAACTGCATTTCTCTGCTCCCTGCTTACACCATGCAGGACTACAGGGTGAACATCTTCCTGCGACAGCAGTGGAATGACCCACGGCTGGCGTACAACGAATACCCTGATGACTCCTTGGACCTGGACCCCTCTATGCTGGACTCCATCTGGAAGCCTGACTTGTTCTTTGCTAATGAGAAAGGGGCCCATTTCCATGAGATTACCACAGACAACAAGCTTCTGAGGATCTCCAGAAATGGCAACGTCCTCTACAGCATCAGGTGAGGTGACTCAATGGGAAGAACTCCACCAAGGCAGGGGAGGGCAGAGCTCAGCTCCCACTCTTCAATCCTCAAATGAGAAAGTGAAGACTTCAAGCATGCCATTAGATAAATGGGAAATTGAGTTGTTGGGGTTTTTTTTAAGAGGGACATCATGCAATTAACAGTGTGGTAACAATGTGGAGACCTCTGGAGATCTCCCTTATAACCTTGCCCTGATGATTGACAATAGCAGGTCAGGCAGCTGTGGCATGTTGGGGCCAAACTGAACAATCTCATGGACGGAGATCCCATGACCTCTGTGGACAGCCTATGCCAGTGTTTCATCTTCTTTCTGGGGCAGAATCCTTCACACAAAAGAAGACAAATGCCATTTATATCCAGCATTAACCTGTGCTCACAAGCAGTGAGGTGTACAGCTCCCTGTTTGTACATGGCAACTGTGGGAGTAACATGCTGCAAGTAAAGATGCCTTTCCCCAACTACCCCAAGTGGAATTCTTCTGAGAAAGTGCCGCTATCTAGCTGAGCTTCAAGTCCTAGTTTTGCAATAGTACCATACTTTAAAAAAAAAAAAAAATGGAAACTTATTTTCAGAAACAATTTTGTTTGGAGAAGGGAGAGAAAAAACTTCAATGAAAAAGAGAGGCTGGGAAATGCCTCCTTAGGTCAGCAGTTGAATCTATTGGAGCAGAAGGATGTCAGTCCTTCAGCCACATGGTTGCCACTTGCTGCTGCTTCTACAACAGGTAGAAAAGTCAATCAGAAAGGTGTTAGCCAAAGTATATTGAGACAGAGGGTTGGTCTGGGAAGGAATCTAGCTCATCTCTACCTTTCTCAGTTTAAGGACTTCTGCTCCTCACTAGTAGAATTCTTAACATCCCTAAAGTAAAATTGTTGAGATATTATACTAGCACAACCTAAAACCAGTTGTACCAGGTGAAAACTAGTAGAAGCCATAAGAACTATGTTTTGAAAGCTGCCGCATTTCTTGAGAAAAAAAACCAAAAAATTAGGGAAATTGCTAAGTAGAGCTCTCCGAGTTTGTCTCAGCATAACTCTTCCCATTTATCCCTTTATTGCCAGATCTGAGAATCCATCAGTGAAGCTGAACTAATTGCACTGAATTTCCCAAAGGAAATCAATCCAATCCCCCACCTTTACTTCACTGCCAACCCCATCCACTCTTTATTTCAAACCGATGAAATTAAGATCAAACCTTATGAGCTTAAAGAAGGAAAGTTGAACTCTACCTTGAAGGCTTTTTTACCTCATGTGTAACATAAATTTGCCCAAGGTACACACATCCCATCTCACACTGCAGCTCCCAGTGGAAGCTATGGGGAAGGAAAAGCAGCATGGAGCTGTGAAATGGAAAATAAACAGCTTAATATTGCAATGTAGACAGGCTCTATCAAACATCAAGGTGGTTCCAGTCCAAAGACCAGATCCCTCATGGCTAAAACAGTAAGAGAATTCCCATGCACGTTGGCTGAACGTGGAAACCTCATATTTCTTAACGACTAAAAAGAAAAAGGCAGATGGTAAAAGTGCCACCAGCAACTTGGCAGTAGGCATGGCACAGAGTCCTGTTCCAGGGGGGTTTGCAGGAGCACAGAGGGGGAATACTGGGTCACACCAGCCCTGGGGTTGCTTCGTTAAACAGAGCAATGACTCAGCAGGGGACATGCAGCAATCTGACTTTCCTGATCACTCTTTTCAAGGCAAAACCTCTTTCTGTTTAAAAAAAAAAACCAAAACTTCCTTCTCCCCCTCATCTCCAAATAATATAGGTTTCTTTTAAAGTACATTTTCCTGGGGGAAAAAAAAAAAAAAGCACATTCATGATGGAAGAGCCCAATGTAAATGCAAAGAGTTTCCAAAAGGAGTCTTTCCCTTTTAAAAAGAAAAAAAAAAAAGTTTCTGTCCAAAGTGCTCTGCCATTTTCTAACTGGCTCTTTGCTACTATTTGACTAGAGCCAAATCTAGTGAAGACACTTACAAGAAGTTGGACTTTGTCCCACGGACCCAAGATTCGGTATGCTCAGCACCGAGTTCACCCAAAACCACCCCTGAGGATTTCACTTGCTGATCCCTTCTCAGCACATGCTTCTCTAGTGTGTGCTCAGCATCTCATGAGCTAGCCACAGTCACCCCTGTTTCACATCTGACAGATTGTTACAATAAATTCTCCTCAAAGGCCTTGTCTGAATATCTAATTGAAGGGTCATCTGTCTGATTGATCAGAGATGAAGTCCCCTGCCAGAGATGTGATGAGAAACACAAAGTGGGCAAAGGCTGGTGGTGACTATCTTCTACTAAGGGGCTTGTTTAGAAACAAAAATACAATTGTTTTCACTTAAAGGAAATTTGAACAAGTTGATTCTTTCTGCTGTCACAACATCTTCTGTCCCAACATGGCTGTAAAGTCAAGCAGAGATTTTCTTCCAACCTAAAGATTTAAGTCAAACTAACTTTCCCTCCTGTTAAGTTTCTTGTAGGTGTGATGATAGAAAAATTCAATTCCTAGCCCCCAGGAAATCCTGCTATTTCTACATCGAGGCAAAAAGCTGAAAAATGTAAACATGCCAGGGAATGGCATTTTCAGTATTATCAAACCAAAGAACACAATTCTAGCTATCTGAATCAAATCATTTAATATCAGCTTGTTGAACCAAACAAATGCTCTGAGCGTAGATCATGGTATAGGGCAGCACAACAGTATGTCACAGAAAAAGCAGCCTGCACCTGGTGGAAAATGGAGCTTGAAAGACAAGAACAGAGGTGTCAAGATGCTCAGCAGGTACTGAGGAAGATACAGAGGTTCATACTGACTCATCACAGGGCATTTTCCCTGCAGAAAATCCCACCAAGCTCTCATTTCCCCCACAGCAATCTGTGATCTTGACCCAACTTCCTTTTTCTGTTTTGTTCTGACACAGAAATGTTCTGTTCAGAGATTTCCAAACAGTCCCAGCCTCTAAAAATTCATCTGGGGAGTCCAAAGAATGGGTCTGAGCTTGCTGCTAATCCAGACTGTTGTGAAACTAAGGCAAGAAATGAAGACAGATGCAGCAAACTGTTTGGTGTTGGAACTCTTTGTTCTGCACAGTCCACAACAACATTCCAGTCAAATGCCATCTGCAGCAGGCGCCTCTGATGAGAGTTGTAGCACAGACCCAAATCCTTGGCACTGCTGCTGCTTTCCAACACCATGTATGAAAACACAGGCAGGGAAGAGGTGAATGATCGCTCATACCCCTCAGCACACCAGCATGGCTTGGGCGAGGTACCAGCCTGTTTGCAACATGGGTGAACATGGATTCACCCTCTCATGAGTACCACAAGCTGTTTGGCATTCTCCTGTGCTGTCTTCTCTCCTCAGGATCACGCTGACTCTGGCCTGCCCCATGGACCTGAAGAACTTCCCCATGGACGTACAGACATGCATCATGCAGTTAGAAAGCTGTGAGTCCTGTGTACAACTCCATTTTGGAGAGGAGACAGCATGTTTTCTCTCTCCCACTTCCCCTCCACCTGCTTCCTCAGCTGCAACTCATTCCCAGTTCAGCCTTCACTGGAGGCTTGCTCAAGAACCACTTGCTCAGGATTTTCCATTCATTCAGCACGTGACATTTACTAGAGAAGACAAACCTTAAATATCCCACGAGGGGAGCCCTGGTTTGCTTGTATTTACCTTGGCCTTTCACTTTGGAGGAGAAAGGTGAAAGTGTTTTCAGCTACAAATGGGATTTTTTTCTCTCTAGATGAACATTTGCCCCTTGTACATGTTGCTTATCCCAAAGGAGGGAAAGACAAGGAACAATTTCATTCAGGGATTAAGTCTTAAAAAATAGCAAACAGCTTAAGAAGCCAAATTCAAGGGGAGAAAAAAAAAAAAAGTGATTTATTGCAGACAGTTCATTGCACACCATCACAGCTCCAGTGCAGGTCACTACCCTTCCACCATGCACATAAGCAGTTCTCCCTCCACCCAAATCCTATTCATTACAGCATTGCCAAGGAGGGCCAAGATAAGTCCCTGCCTTCAACTATAGCTCTCTTCTACAAATCTGTCCCTTTCCAGATCAGCATTGAATGTTTCACACAATATTTGTCCACTTTTCTCAACAGTTGGCTACACGATGAATGATCTGATATTTGAGTGGCAAGAAAAAGGAGCTGTGCAAGTTGCTGACGGGCTGACGTTGCCTCAGTTTATCCTCAAAGAAGAAAAAGACTTGAGATACTGCACAAAGCACTACAACACAGGTCAGTGCTGTTTGCCCATGGCTGTTGGGTTCATTAGAGAGTAATTTGGGACTGTGCATTTGCCAAAGTCTCTTGCTAGGCTTGCTGGCACTTGTGATACAAGGCTTGCCCTACGCAGCCAGGATCAACATATTTTGTATGTATGAATACACGTAGAAATGCTGACAGTAAATATTCACATATATAGCCAATAAAAAACTAATAGACACAAAAGTGTGGAACCCTTTTTTCCCCAGTAACACCTGTACCAGTTCAAGGGTGTTTGTGTCTGGACCTTCTCCCCCAGCATCTTTTATCTTTGATGTAAGGAAGCAGCTGAAATTTAGGTGACAAAGGACATACTGCCACGAGCTTTCTTGTTGCATATTCATATTTCAGAGCTAAGCAACAGCAATTATTCTCCTCCTCTGACAAGACTCTGGTTCTAAGCCATGCAAGGAAAGTTCCCAGACAATAGCTGAAAATAGGAGACTCACTGAAGGGCATTGTCAGTAATCTTCCACGTTATCTCCTGTCCTTCTCAGGCAAGTTCACCTGTATAGAAGCTCGTTTCCACCTGGAGCGGCAGATGGGCTATTACTTGATCCAGATGTACATCCCCAGCCTCCTTATAGTCATTTTGTCCTGGATCTCCTTCTGGATCAATATGGATGCTGCACCTGCTCGGGTTGGCCTGGGGATCACCACGGTGCTCACTATGACCACACAGAGCTCTGGTTCCCGAGCATCGCTGCCCAAGGTAGGGAACATGGTTATCTTTGCAGAAGGACAAAAGGTGCACTTTCTGAGGACACCACGTAAGTGACTACATAGATCCTCAACACAAGAGGCATTCTGCTGCATTGCCCTATTCCAGTTTAAGGGGAAACAAAAGAATTTCCAAGCCCTTCCTGCAAAAGCCTTAGTGGAGATGCTATGATTAGCAGTAAACCTTCTCCTAAGATTCATCACCCACCCCAAGATCCACCATAGATCCCAGCAGCCAGGAGCTCTGTACCTTGCAAACCTCTGGAACAACCACATATGGATGTGCACTCTACATTCATCATACTTTTATAATACTTTTACTGAATCTCCCTGTTGTGAAGGGCTTCTGGTATGACCAGATTGGATCACTATTTTCCTTGCATATAAACACCACAATCCAGACCTGAATAAATTAAGAACCATGGAATTATTGCTACTTAAGAGCCCAGGAATAGTTTCAGTGACCTGATAATACTTCCATGTTAAATGAGATAGATTTCGATATCCGAGAGCAGATGTCAACCATATCATAGCTTGATCAACTCCTTCCAAGAACCCTGGGAGTAACACATAAAATAGCAAGCAGAGAAGCATTTGGGTGAATGACAGCTGGACTCAGTCTCTCTCTCTGACTCCTAGGTGTCCTATGTGAAGGCCATAGACATCTGGATGGCCGTATGCTTGCTGTTTGTGTTTTCTGCACTTCTAGAGTATGCTGCCGTCAACTTCGTGTCTCGGCAGCACAAAGAGCTGCTCAGGTTCAGAAGGAAGAGGAGACACCATAAGGTAATACATAAAGCATGAAGGACACAGCTGGAATCTGTCCCAGCAGAACATCACTACATGGCCAACTGAACCGAGCCACTAGCTCCCAGGGAAGTCCTCAGTAAATGGTTAGATGTTAAGGAAGGTCACACATCACAAAGCAGAGCTACCTCAGTGAATTGTGTCTCTTCTAACAGTTTGCTGACCCCAGGAGTCTAGCAAGCTGGATTTTGTTAGCTAGCCAAGTGGTCTAAGCCAAAAGGGTTGTCCTCAACAAAACAGTTTTCACATGGCAGTGTTCTGATCTGAATTCTCTTCAGAACACACAGCGAGGGCTGGGGGGAGGAAGGCAGGGAGGTGTGAGGGATATCTATCAGAGAACAGCATCCCCCAACAAGACAGCCTACATTAGCCCAGAGGTAAGTAACACCTCTCTTGTCTCTGTCATTTCTGTATTCAAAAGCATCTGCTTCTCAGAGTGACTGCAGATTCCTCTCGGAAGGAAGGAGCAGGATGCTCAGCCTTAGCCTCGCTCCGTGCTTCCTCGCCATGACTGATGCCAATCCAAGCATGCATGAGTCACGTAGATGTCCACCTCCTGCAGCCTAGACTCTCCTAGCTTTTAGGCTGAAGCACTTCAGCAAAGATTTCACCTAACAAGATGCACTAGAAAGAAACATAAAGGTGACTGTGATCGTAAGACCAAAGGCACTTAAAAATTGTTCTTAATTCACTGATAGAATCAGGCAGGTGGCATCACGTTCTCAGCACCAGGCCTGAGAGGCCACCCTCAGCTAGCACAAAAAAAAAACCAGTAAATTTGCTAAGAAAGGAAAAATCCCAGAAAAAATTGCTGATGAGAATCTCAAGAGAGCCCCTAGGAGATCACCATGGTCTGCCTAAAATATCCCCTCTAGGTGTTTTTTCTGCTCCTGATTTTAAAGAGCCCTCCACAATCCATCCCAGCCAGAGACCCCCCTTTCTATTGCTTCACTGTCCCAACCATGAAAAGTCTTCCCCAGGTTCTAACCCATCCTACAGCAGTTCCCAGTGTGTGCCTGGAGAACCGCCACCGTTCCAGGAGGCACTGGGGGCTAAGGAGCAGGAATCCCTCTCTCCTGTAGGTTTGCCTCTCTGCTTTCAGTTGTTCCATCTGGGAACGGGAGATAATTGTTCACTTGTCCCCAGCCCAGTCAGAAGGGATGAAAAGTGTTGGACAAAGGCAAGGGAAAAGAAATAGCAGATGAGACCATCAGCACGCATTGATTGTGTCTGGCCAGAGCAAGACCCTGCCATCTCAAAATCAATGAGATAGTTTTGGTTCAGAAGATGCAGCCAAAGCTAAAACCACCCAACGCAGATGCCTCGTAACGCTTTTATCTCTTCATCTAGATTCAGGCATCCTGCCTCTGAATCTGTGCTGTTGTATGCAAATTGCTCTGTTGATAAAACAATAAGGAGAAAAAAAGCCACTAATATCCAGATGAGATTAAAATATATTTGCCAGGGATGTTCCATTGAACACAAGGCTGCTATTACAATCCTTGCCCAATCTCACAGCAGTTTAATTAGAACAAAGAATAAACAAAAACACTTACAAAAGCAAAATGAACACGGTTTGCAGGCTCATCAGAAAACTATGAGCTGACTGCAAATAAGCAAATGGGTTAGTGCAGCTGCCAAAGAACTTAATTGCTCTGTCCTGATGTCCTGACTTGTCCGGGTAGCTCTGCCTGGTTTAGGTATGACGTGCCAGGCTGAAAACAAGTGTGATGTTGCAGTGGTCCGTGCTAGTGGAGGCAGCTGGGGAGAGGATCAGCCCACGTCCACATTTATTAGGTCTGCCTAAATCTAAACCTAGCAGCCATTCTTCACAGCTCAATGAGCCAGACAATGTGCCACGGTCTGGTATTTATACAAGTGAATCCAGACAAATCAGTTTCTTCCTTTCCTCAGAGTTAGATGCAAGTTGCTCGCATGTTCTCATTGTTAAGAGTTTTTCTTCCTCCCTAAAAAATAAAAATCAGATCAATAAATATCTGTTTCCAGGTTTCAGTCATCCCTTTCCATTTCTGAGCCACCTCTTACCTCCTTCCCTCTGGAAGAAGGGTGAGGATTAAACCAGAAAAATTAACTAGACAGCTGACTCCAAACCCATTACTCTGTCTGTATTTACTGAGGCAGACAGGTCCTGGAGTGGGGATTGTGAGAGCTAGGAAAAGTTACTGTTCCTTTGAGATATGGACCAGTCTGGTTTCTGCAGCCCTCAGCTCCCAGTTCAAACAGTGACTTACTAGATCTCCAAGCACACAGAGTCACTCAGCCCCAAGAGCACCTGGGTGCTAATTTTTTTGTGTCTCAGTTTCCCCTGCCAGTGCACTGTCCTCTCACAGAGGCATTGTTAGGAGTCAAAGACATTTAAGGATTGTCAAAACTCAGATGTCAGGGACCACAGATACACCAAGATGACACAGAGCAGGGAAGAATTATCCAAAAGCCTACAAAACTGTCTTAGCCAGGACTCTGAAATAAGCCTGCTGGCAGGTCACACAACCCACCAGCTTGCCACCCTCCAAAACAAACCCACCCAAAAGAAGGAAGGTTTGATTTTGAGGTGTTTTGCTTTGCTCAGCTATGCCAGCGTGTTCTCCCCTCTGCTCCCCCATGCCAACCCTGCAGTGCAGTGCCTCCATCCCATGCAGCTACCTGCTCAATGCAGTGGCCATCCAGAAAAGACACTCTGCAAAGGAGAGAGGAAGGGGCAGCAGGGTTATGAGGGAGGGGGCCAGGAGGTCCATGCTGGGGAACACAGGTCAGTGTTGGGGGACACAGCATAGGTCAGCCTCTGAGACGATCAGAACCATTGGTTCAACAATTAGCCTTGATGACCTGTAGTCAAGAGACTTTGGTTTCTGACCCTGACTCTGGAATTCACTGGTTGTATTAGTTTGGCCAGACTTGGTTTTCCTTGTAATTACATCCCTTTGTTGAATAAAATCAGGCTAAATCATTCTGAGAAGACTGCAAGCCCTCCACCAAAAATGAGCAACATTTGCCTTTAGATTGGAAAATAACTTCCTTTTTTCCTCAATGATTTGAATCAGGACAAGCAACCACATCTTACCCACTGATAGACAGAAGGGCGTTTCTGTTCCTCACCTGGAATACGGCTTGTGGGCTGGGGGGCTCCAGGGGGCAGGCGACTGGAGGGCTGGTCGCACGCTGCCTGCAGAGGTCTTTTCCTGGACAGGTCTCAGCATCTGCTCATCCATGTAACTCTGTAGGAAGTCTCATGGTGTGGCTTCACCTACACGAATTACATGGAGCCCACTCCTTCTGGGCAAGCTGATACAGCACAGGCAGAGCAAAGAAGGTGCTGATAGGAGCAGCGGGAGGGAGGGAGGGCGAGAGGGAGAGGCAGAAGCAAAACAGGGGATGCAACTGGATAAATGAAAGCAGTGCCATAAACCCTTCAAGTATGTCAAAGACCATGGTGGGGTAGAAGCGAGTGCAGTTCTCCATGGGGCGCCTGGATCCCCTGATTTGCATCTGTGCATCACACAGCTGGCACCCTTCTATAAGGCTGATCTCCCAAGAGCAGAGGGTCCATCCAAGGGCGCCGAGCTCAACGGCAGCGCCTTTCCCTGGCAGAGCAGGAATCCATCAGCTGAGAGCCTTATAGCGAGGGTGCACCATCTATATCTCATTTTAAGTAGAGCCCCATGCTGAATCTGTTTCAGGAGGACGACGCTGGGGAAGGCAGGTTCAACTTCACTGCCTACGGGATGGGACCAGCTTGCCTACAAGCCAAGGATGGCATCTCGGTGAAGGGAGCCAACAACAACAACACGGCCAACCCCGTGCCCCCGCCCTCCCGCTCCCCCGAGGAGATGCGCAAGCTCTTCATCCAGAGGGCCAAGAAGATCGACAAGATCTCGCGCATTGGCTTCCCCATGGCCTTCCTCATCTTCAACATTTTCTACTGGATCATCTACAAGATCGTCCGCAGAGAGGACGTACACAACCAGTGAGGGATGGGGAGCCGCTGGGAGGGAGCGAGCGATCCTTTAGATATGTGCAATAGCAATGCAGCTATGCATGAATTTAAGAATGTGGCAATATCTACTAAAAAAAAAGGGGGGAGGGGGGCTGGGAGGGACTTTTAATCATGTGAACTGAGGATAACAGCACAGGGAGGAGGAAACGAAGCTCTTGATCTGGGGAGAGCAGGGTGGGGTTTAGTTTTACAGCATAGGAAGGTTTGGATTGCTCCAGTTGCAATCCAAGCGGTGTAATATATTAATATATATTCATGCTTAATTATAATGCAAAAAGAAAACAGTCAAAAAAAAAGAAGATAAAAAAAAATCCTTTTTTTTAGCCTATTAACAGCTTAGATTCTCAAGTCACTGGAATGATTCATAATTCCATGTGCAGAAAGAACTGCAATTATGCTTTATGACTTTTGCTATAGAAAGGCCATACCAGTCAAGCATGGAGAGGGAAAAAAAAAATCCCTAACAAAAGGAAAAAAAAAAAAAACACCAACAAGAAAATCATTCCATGTTCCTCTAGGTTTTGCACTTTGAAAACTAGGTAGATGGGGAACCTTAAGAAAGAGGCTGTGGATGGTTGTTTATTTTATATATTTACTTTTTTCAGTCACGGGTTTGCCGATCAAACACTTTGTGACTTTTGGTTAGCAGAAAGCAAACACATTATCTCTCTCATCCCCATCAGAGAGCATCCAGTGGGGAACCTGAGAAGGACATCAGGGCCTTCATCAGAAATCGCAGGTACCTTCTGTCCTTATAAATGACCTGGCAGGATTCAAGTCCTAGGAGTCAGAAATATTATTCAGAAGACTAGAACTGATGAAGGATTTTAAAAACAGATTCTTTTTCTTTTTTTTTTTTCCAAACCCCTTTCTGCCATGTTTGTTTACAATCAGGGGATGGAAGCATTGGATGAGTTAAAGCAGAAATTATATTTAAAATATAGAGAAAACCAGGCATAACCATGTCTTGCTACAACAGGACCGGGCAAATGGCAATATATTCAGGAAGGGGGTGGGGGGAGAAGTGTACAGAGAGAGTGGTTCTTATTTTCAGACATTTCATAGCAGTTATATTAATAGTGAAGCAGGGCCAAAGGACCCAAAAAGTCTATTTTTGTACCTATTTTGGTGCTGCATTTAGCTTTAATGCAGATGGGAAGATGGAGCAGGCTGCTCAGCCCCTCTCTGCTACCCAGCAGAGTGCTGGGGAAGGTTGGCACAGTTTGTGGGGGATGGGGAAGGGGGGAGGGAGGTGGGAATGGGTGACCAAAGGGGTTTCCCTTTGGCCAAGCGGTAGCACAGGTTGATGTTGGTGTTTGGGGCAGGGGGCAAGTGCCAAGCACCTCCAGGGTGTTATTTGAAAGCCTGGCTTGGGGCTGGCAAGGGCAAATCAAGGGCTTGGTAGCCCACTTGCCTCTCTGGGACCCTGGGCATGAGCCAGGCTGCACCACCCAGGGTGATTCAGGCGGGTTCGTTTGCACTTTAGTGAGACAGGTAAAAGAGCGTGAAGGAAGAGACAATCAGTCTGCACTGGAGCACTTGGGGTCAGGCCTGCATTAGGCACTAAACCACGGCAGAGAGACAAGTGGCACCCAAGGGGTGCTTCCATTTTCCTTCCTCTGCTCCATCTCCTAGCTCAGGACTGGACCAGAGCTGACCTGGGCTGCAGGGACCAGAGAAGCTCCTGCTTGCAGAGGCTGCATACTCCATGGCAGCTGGAACAGCTCACAGCAAAGTGCCCTCTTGCACTGTCAGGTCCAGTCTGGCCCAGATCAGCAACATCTAAGCCTGGGAGGTGGGAGCCTATGCTCAGTGATGGGGGTGCCAACCAGCACAGCTATGGGAGGAGGCAGAGGAAGCACGTGGACCTGTGAGCTCACCAAGCACAGGGCTGGTGCCAAGAGGAGAAAGCTCAGAATGCAGTCAAGCCTCTCGTGGGCTGAGTAGAGGAACACCCCTCTCCAAGGCTGCCAAATCAGCACCTTTTACCAGCACTAAATACACTTTATTTAAAGAAAAATAGAAAGGAAAAAAAAAAAAAAAAAAAAAAAAAAAAGGAACAAACCATGGGTAAGAAACAACAAGAAAAAAAAACCAGGAGAAAAGCAAAGAAAACAGGATGGTCACTGTGTGGACTAGGGCAAATCCTAATATTTCCTAACATTTTGGCAAAGGCCACGTAGCTTTCTGAGTCCCTTTGTGCTGGGTGAGAGAGGGAAAGGTCATGAGATAGCAGTGTGAGTCAGTACCTCACCCCTCCCTCTGCTGGGGCAGCAGAAGAGCTGTGGGCTGAGGACTTCTCCTTCCCCTGGCAGCCAGCGCCTTCCCAAGTGGGCAGATCTCAGGCTGAGGAGCACGGGCATTCTCTGATGCTAGGAGAACTTCCCGAGCCTTGGCTAGAGCCCAGCTCTGCTGCTGGCTCTGGTTCTGCTGGCTGAAGGACTGAGCTCTGCCTGCAGGGAGCCAGCCGGGCATCCCAGCCGCGGGTTCTGCGACTGCAAAGGGCACGTCCTGCTCCGAGATGAAGGGGCACAGCCAGGGAATTCCCTCCCTGCCCAGCAGTAGGGCAGGGGCTGGGCAGCCCACGCAGAGGAGCAGCCACAGATCACTGTCATCGGGGCAAAAAAAGCTCCTGCCTCTATCTTGCAGTCTCACCAGGCTAGCTGGGGTGGCTCAGCAGGGCACAGCCAGCTGCAGGGCTGTGGGTGCCCTTCCCAGCTGGGGCTGCTCGAAGGAATCACCCACAGGCTGCTAAAAATCCCATGCACCATCCTCCCACCCAAGTGAGTTTTGAACCTACATCCCAAGGGCAAGACCAGAGCAAGGAGAAGGGACACATTTCCACCTCCCTCCATTCTGCTTTTAGAGAAAGGCCTCAGGATTGAAGAGGAAGACCATGTTTATCCTAGATTTATTGCTTGGAGATGTATATAAGCTCACAGTTACTGCTCTGCTAGAGCTCCAGTGTCACTTCTTAGCACTACGTAAGGCCAGAAGAGGCTAAATTAGGGACTAAAAATAGCCAGAAAGATACTTGTGCTTCCTGCTCTTACAAAAGCACTTCAGCTGCTAGTGAAGCCCACGGGAGTTTAGGGACTGAAGTAAAAATTACACATTTGCCTACCTACCTTTGCATCTGGTTTGGCTCTGCCAAGCACCAGGTCCATTTGATGCTCCCTGTAAGCAGCATTACTCTCTCTTCATTAAGCAGTGAGTTTCCATCCAGGCTGTTTTCCAGCCCCAGGGCTGTCTGCATGGTGATAGCGAGCAGCACTTGCATCCCAATGTGAAACACGCTGAGGTCTTGGCAAAGGTCTGGCAGTGCTGAGGTAGCTGTCCCACAGATGTCCTGCCAGGCAGTTTCATCACGTAGGCAAGACCTTAGACTGTCCTAGAAGCCCCTGGCAAGTCTGTGCAGTTTTCAAAAATCAAACATTTTTCTCCATCTGTACTAAGCTGTGTTTAGTCTCTCTATTGCAACAGAATTCGCTTTGATAACCTATCTCATCTTCAAAGTAGGCTGCTTTAATAGTGCCAGCAATTACATATATTAATAAGAATGTACAGGATTTGATATTGCAAGGTGGCTTCCAGGCATACTGATGGAATTTAACTCAGTCGTTGTTCACTTTTGTTAAGAACAAGGCTTAAAAGCAAAAACTCTGAATAAAATACAGAGCAGTCAGGCTGGAAGTAAAGAGAGAAAATAGGATCCTAATTCACCTGGACTTTTTGGAAAAATGGAGCTTTATCCCAAGCAATATTATTACCAGATGTTGCTGGAAACTTATCACTTTATGAGTAGGAATTAATTTTCCATCTCTAGAAATACTGTGGAAAAGAAGAAAAGTAGGATAAACTTTTTATTTTTTTTGTCCAGTAGATGAGATATTCCCCACATTAATTCCTCATTAAAGCAGCTTTCTGCCTGGGATGCCAGTACCATGGCAATCTGAAAGAGGTGCTGAAGAGGGTCCAGGACAGAGCAGTGAGCCTGTGATCTGGTACAGACTGCAGGCTTAGCCTTGACCCTGGCAAAGCATCAGAATGCCCACACAGGCAGGGGCATTTGCTTCATGGGTCTGGCAGTGCCCTCCCTCCTCCCTCCTGCCCTAGAAGCCTTTGCTGGTCAGGGCTGAGGGACTTCATTCCAAAAAGCATCGGTGCTGAATGTTCTCACATCCTGTGAACAGAAACACTTACTTGTTCTCCCCAGACTTTTCTGGAAGGCTTGGGTTTGCTTATTTTTTTCCTGCCTCTTTTGAAGATCTTTAATGTTAAGGCAAATTCAAGACAACTCATATTATACTATCAGTTGTCCTTTGTCTCGGTTGTAATTTGAAGACTGTGCTTAGTTTCCTAATGCTGGTGGGAAAAGGCTAGAAGTATTTAAAACATATTTTTTCAAAAAAAAAAGAAAGGAACAGATGAAAGGAGAAGAGTATTTTAAATGGTGCCATATTTTTTCACAGATTTTATATAATCATATTTTTGTATTCTACTACCATTCCTTAATAAAACATAGCTCTTATCCCTGTGCCAGAGACCACCTCTTCAATACCCCACTCCTTGCTCCAAAACCTTGCTACCAGCAGCAGAAGATAGTGTAATATGGACCCTTCTCCCTCAAAACCAATCCTACCTACATCAGGCATCTCCTGTAAGCAGCAGGTCCTGCCCTGCCAGAGCATCCCACAGAGCTCACTTCAGTAAAAGAAGCAGCTGATCCCTTCCCTGCTAGAAAGCACCTGGCACTCTCCTGTCTTCTCCTCCAAAGGAGATGTAAGGGGTATATTGTGCTGCTCCAACAGATCTCCATCATTTGTATGGATACTGTATACTATTTGAGCAGAAAATTGAGATACTTGATTGTTCTTCTGGGTGCCAGGATGAGCACCAGAGCAGAAGCTAATACTCATTCATTTTAGCATCTTCAAAATTACTTCAGGTCCTTTAAGTCTTCCCATCCCTTCA